CGTTTGAATTACATAAAGTATGAGTCTGAATAACAGTTTGTGGAACATATCACGAGTTGTGCTCTTATACACACTTCAGGAGTTTATGGAAAGAAAACTGCATACAATAAATGTAATTTATCTTTCTTATTACCTATTGTTTATAAATTCGATCTTACCAGCCCTCACCGGAATTTTAATCATTGGACTTTTATCTTTCTTATTAGCTAGTAGAACTTGAATTTGCCCGTCATGATATATGCATGTATTTTCATGGTATTTCACACTTGTGATTGGACATTTTTTGGGCAATAAGAAGACCAGTAATGCTAAGGAGCCAACAGTTGTCTCCTTAGCATTATTGATAAGAAGACTTGCAGGAAGTATTCACTGTCTTGTCATTCCTTAAAGGTCTAAAAAAGTTGTGAAGATTATATTTCCAGGAGATATCCACGTGGCAACATGAGGTGCAATTTGTGCAGTCCCCTAGTTGGGCTTTGCGTGACACAGCGTGCTGCTGCTGGGCTTAGTGGTCACAATAAGCGTGGCCCATGAGCACTAATTGGCCTAGCCTAAGTTGCCTAAGCTTATCTCATCTTTTCAGATGTCAATTCATGTTTGGTTCGGCAACTTTTTCTATTTCATTCACCAAGAAGAAAGGGAGAGTGACAACCATAAATTCTTACACATTTTATCATGTTACTTGACAATTGGGGGCAAGAAGTTTTAGGAAACTTATGGTTGATATCAAGGCCGTCTCCAGAAATTTGGAGGCCCCAGACAATTTTTTTTTTTTTTTTAAGTTCCCAATTTGAATTTGTGTGGTAAGCAGAGAAGAAAAAAACAACGAATTCAACAAGACAAGCTAAATAAATAAATAATTTTTTTGTTTTTCATCAATTCTGAAATATATCTTAGAAATGATAAATTATCTTACAGAGATATTTAATAAATTACATTGAAGCAGTCACGAGGACATTAAGATAAAAAATAAAAAATAATACCACTGAAACTAATTATTCTAATAAAAATTGTTCATACCAAACATCATAAGAAAACAAATGAAATATTTAGGTTTTCAAATTCACAAACAAATTACATATTTAACCATTAGTCTTTTTATTAATTAGTTTCTTCATTTGTGCAGTGGACCAAGTCCATATTTACTCATTAGCCCTTAACCTTTTATTAATTAACATCTTTATTTGTGTAATGGGCTAAGTCAATATTTAGTCATTACTAATTTATTAATTAGGCCACTTCATTTATTTAAATGGATCAAACCGTATTAACCAACAACAAAAAAATGTGGCCCCAAATAAATTGAGGCTCTAGGCAAGAGCTCTCTGCCTCCCCCCTGGAGCCGCCACTGGTTGATATGCTATATATGGAGAGTCACAACCTGAATTTTTACCGTTAGATCAACACATGTGTGTGTGGGTATGCATGTGTATGTGTGATCAAATGGTATAAAAAACCCAGTGCAGTCAGTAGGTTGAAATTTTCGGTGACTGCAGTGCAGTTATGGAATTTTTTTATCGTTGGATCAACACACACCTGTGTGGATATGTATGCATGTGTATGTGTGATCCAACGATATAAAAAACCCGATGCTGTCAATAGGTTGAAATTTTCTGCTATATATGGCAACTTATATATTAGTGATATGATTGTTAAGTTCCTTAGTCTAATATTGTCGACTGTAATATAATTAGTAGTTTTTATTGTTTCCTTCCTACCTATTTTGTGGGTGAATTTCACCCTTTTTGATGTGGATATTATTGTCGAGGTTTGAACCGTAAGATCTAATTTGTTGTACGTTTTCTAGAATCATGCCATGTTGTATTCTACTCAAGGGTAGCTTTTTCTTGGTGAAAAGAAACAAAGGATGAGAGCTGTTAGGATTTAGGGACATATATGATATATCACATTATTATCATATCGGATCAAATCGGGCCCGGGCCATTGGATGATCTTTCCTTCACNTTAATAATAATTTTTTTGGCTGATGATATCATTCAAGCAGGGGTTTTAGGTAACATGTGATACTTGACTGAGTGCATCACACAAATATTAATGGCATAGAACTACGATTTATTAAATTATGATCCAAATTTTAATTCACATATAATACTCTAATTAAATATCCATTGCCTTAATCAGATGAATCATGAATGCAACAATTTATATTTTTATAATGGTGCTTTTGATTGTGCGTATAAGAGTACTTTTTACTTCTTTTACAAAATATATCTATACATATGTCAATTATATTATAATCAAGAAGAAAAGTATTGTGCATGTGTCTTGAAAGTTACAGAAAATATATGTATTATAATACATATATCAAACAAAGATATGTGTATATGGGAAATAAATTAAGTATCATTTAAACATAGATCACTTGGTGCATGCACGAAAAAGGTCTGAGAAAAAAGAATTGTACTGTACTTCACCAAAGCGTGCGTAATAAAAGCCATTTTATGAGGAGCTTTTGCCCAAAGGTGTATTATTACATGATAATCATGAGGCCAATCAATCTTCTTCTAGTTAAAAATGAACCATGAAATGTGGATTTTTGCATAGTTATGATGCCATTAAATTAATTGGATCTTGGTTTTAGTGGGATAGCCACTAACACATTAGTAAATCTTCATTGTATCTTTATTGTCTTGTTGATGTATCATATATGGAACAATTAAAGTCACATCTTCATCATATTGTTAACTTCTTTTAAATTAAAAAAATTATTTCAGTTTTTTTATATATTTCTATCTTTTCACACTTTAATCAAGTGTTAAAACTTAAACTTCAGCCTTGTTTGGTAATCTAACGTTTTGGGACTAAATTAAAAGTTGGTAATTCATGGAAGGAAAATTGATGCAAAATAATTATGATTATGATTATTATTATTATTATTATTAGTTAGCTTGGAGAATAAGCTAGGTTTTAGTTGAAGAGTCTTATTTAAAGGGCTCTTGTGCTTTGTTATTAGGAGAGTTGATTATTGAATGAAAATAAGATTGTGAGTTTTATCGAGAGAGTATCTCGTTTATCTTTCCCACTCGTACGCTTCCCTACATCAGTTGGTATCAGCAGTCAGTACGATTCGCGATGTCGCCAGGACGACAAGATGCCGCAAACAAACGATGTGATGCAATCTTCAACGATCGGTTTCAACAGATCGACTACCGATTTGAACAGTTGGATGTGCGTTTTACGGATTGGTTTGCAGATTTTTCGACGGGGATCGAGGATTTGCATTTGACGCTTAACAACGAGGTCTGGGATTTGCAGATGAACCGTGTTGCCGGCGACCGAGGTGTGCGCTGGGGAGTTCACGGAGGAAGTGGAGATCGTGGTCCAGGCGGGGCGCCCCGTCGGCCATCTCCACAACCACCGCCCGACGATGCAGACGGCGAGGAGACCATATCGGAGGTGGATCCCTTCGGAGAGTGGCCGCCTTCGCCTGTCGAGACTGAGCTCATTGCTGCGCACGACAACCAAGATGTACAACAACAGAGTGGAACTTTTGAGGAAGATGACGGGCCATTGTACGACGGTCCGTCTATTTTCGATGAGGAGCCTCCGATGACGGAGACATATCTTTGCGGCAATATGGGTTCCGCGTGGGACGTCGCAGAAGTTGAGCCTTTAACGGGGATGCCGTCGTTCAAACCTGATTTTTGGAGTATCTTGGCCAACGATGGTTTTTTGGAACCGAAGCCGAGGCTCAATAATTGGTGGGTCATTTTCCGATTGTCTATCGCGAAATCTCTCGACAACGGGATGCTTGGTCGTAGTTATGAGTTTGAGCGCAGCGAACGATATGGTATGTTTTGTGTTAATTCAGTTGTGTGGGTTATGCATATGGAGGCGTATACATGTATCTTTCCAGTATATCATTACTTGCCCAAGATTATGTTTACCTTCGGGGTTATTGGGCGACCTTCCACATTCGTGTTCGATCGTGGAAAACGCCCGGGATATTGCTGTCATGGGGACGTCTCCAACGAGAACGTGTCGGATTCGAGGGCGAATCCTGCTCAACCGGGAGAGAATGATGCAAAATAATTATGGTTATTATTATTATTATTATTATTATTATTATTATTATTATTATTATTAGTGCGTGGCCCGTGCAATGCACGGGAAAACAATAGTAAAATTGTATTATAAATTAAATATATAAATAACATTAATCATGATATATGTATTGTTTTTACATTAAACCAGGTTGGACACAGTCCGACCGGATGGACGGATAACCGATTTATAACCAGTCTAGTTCACTTGAATAAGATATTTGCTTTTGAATCCGTCAACACCAGTCGGTTGGATTTGTAGGATCGACACGATTTTTTAAATAAATTTTATTATATTTAAAAATTATTTTAAATAGAATTACATATTTAAATAAAATAGAGATTTATAAATTATTTATCAATTAGTTTAAACATTTGAATTTATAAATTTTTTAAATATTTAAGTAACACATTTTGTTTAAATTTATTACAAAAAATACTCTATATATATATATATTAAAATGTTTATAAATTAAAATCTGAACAAACCACAAATGATTTAATAAAATAGCTTGATCGTTTCGATGACGGTCCAATTCTGAGAACCTTATATTTAATGTATATTAATAAATATTGTAATAAAACATTTTTTTATTCACATAAATATTAATAAAATGATATATAAATATTCATAAATCATTAAACATTTTGTCATAAAAGTATTGTTAATACGATTATTTGAAATTTGGACTACATAACATTCACATAATAAAATATTTTCAATATAAAATTTATATTTAGGTTCAATAATCGATTTGGTGTGATCGAACTGATTCAAAACTTAGTCACCTGGGACCAACCAAGTTGTGTCAAATTTTTTGACTATTTTAAATATCACCTAAAAGTAATTCAATCAACCTGGACAGTACCCTAATTCAATCACCTAATTGATCCGAAGAAATTTTTTTATTTTCTTTAAATATATTTAATTTTATGAAACAAAAATATTTTATGATTCATATAATAAATGTCTATACCAAATGGTAGTATATTAAGATTATAAATTACATATCTTAAGATGAATTAATTATTTTTACTTTATGCATATTAATAAAAAATAAACATAGTAATTTTCAAAAAATTAAGATTAATTGATTGATTATGCAATTTAAAGAATATTTTTAGCGTTCAATTTTTTTGAAAGGCACAAATATAAAGACCGAGATTCTAAAACTTTTGTTATATTTTGAATTGAGATTTTATAAATATAGAGACCGAGATTTTAATTTTGTTCGTTGTTTCTAAGAAAAAAATAAAAATAAAATCATACACACTTAATAAATCTTAGCCGGATTTTTTAAATAATAAAATGAACTACAGCCCGAAATTTAAGGTAACATTTAATGCTGTATGAATTTTAAAGAAAAAATAAGAAAAATAATAAAACTTACTATTTATAGACTGCATTAAATTTTGACCTATTTTTTTGCTACTATTTTTGGTAAATGTTAATTCCTATTATATATATAT